CACTATTTCCTTGAATTTGTGCAATTCTTCATGTGATGTAAAAATGAAATAATAATTCCGTAGTTGTAGGAGTAGAAATGACATTCACCTGACTTTATTTATAGGCATTGACTGCGACGGAAATTGGAGAAGATCGGGTTTCTATAACTAAGTGCACTAAAAGTGGACAAACAGTGGCATTGATGCTTAACTTCTTGCAATTTATACACCCTCGGTCAGTTTCAGCTCATTTCAATTACAATATTGTCGACATATGTGCACTTTGAACTTGTAATTTACTGGAATTAATTAAAGCGTCTTTTTCTCAAAGAACTCTAATTAAAATTTACAACACTTTTACTTTAATAGGAATACGAACACTTATTTGACTTCTTTGCAAACTCTATCAATGTTCTATACAGTAAAATGTGCTAATTTTGTAAGTGAAAGTCACATTTGATATCCTAATTTCTTTACGCAAGGCAGCCTTTTATTAAATGAAGCTATCAAACTTAACTCTAATAACCCCTCTTAACATTATTTAGTAGTTTAACTTTAACTAATATAAATGGAAATAATGCGAAAAACGATGACCAAGAAGTAGATTAAAATAAAAAATAAAAAATTATCATTATCTCTTTACCTGGAATAGCAAGTTATCTGCAAGTTCTTTTACTAATGATGTTTTTGTTTAATTGAATAAATGACACTACGCATGGTAATTATCATAAACTTGATATTTAATAATATTATACATCGGTTCTTCGTTTTTCGCATCATTTCCAAGACACCATAGAAGTGAATTAAAATAATAAACCTTATTTCCTTGCCAATGTGCATTGCATAGACCATCATAAATTAGATTGATTAATTGAAGTATTTTAAACTCCAACTGTGCCCTTCATACTCTAAAATGAGCCAATTGATGTCCACGTTTCTGGATAAAAACGATCTTAATTCTAGCGAAACTTGCTACCAAACGAGGTAGTGATGCAATGGGAATCAGCTATATGCATTGATAAAAACTATGGGACCCAGAGTTACATGAAACAGTAGTCGGCATTAAGGTGACGAAAACGGTTTTCATGTTGTTAAAAATGTCCACATCGGATTCACAGGGAAGCCTTGTTAAGAGCAACTGAGTATGTCACAATTAAAACGATTGGCGTCTTGGTCTTCGATGATATTTAGATAAGATAGAGATTAATTCTTATTAAGCTCACGCATCGAATATACACATCTATAAGTCTGAATAACTAAGTCTTAGTGTAATACAGTGCTATAGCATGCAAATAAAACGATCACACACAATGAAATCGTATTGTAGATTTTGTCAATTTGTCCCTGTAGAGGACATTCAACGTCGGTTTCACTCCTCTTACTATCCATGTTTTCATAAACCCACCAATCACTCCAATTCATTACATGGTGTTGTGGGGAAAACAGTGAGACACAAAACGTCAAGCGCTCACTGCAATAATCTCACTTACACATACACGAAAATGGTTAATTTATTTTCCGCCTCACAAATTGATAAAAAATTGAGTTCACCTAGAATGTGACACACTTTAATTCGCAATCATACAACTGACTTGATTTGCATAGCCACACCTTGATTGCTACAATATGGCATGATATTTCAATGCCTCTATTAGAGGCACATGTCATCGACACCTGCTCAGTCTGCTCCCAGTTCGCCTGGAGAATTTCATAAATGCACATACAATAAATGGCGCATATCTGGTGAAGTGTGCTTCACTACTTATTGCACACTATTAGGCGAAATTTCACCACCAAAAAATCGACTGTCTTTATCTTCACTCCAATCAATCAATGTTATTCTGTAACAGTTTAATACTATTTTATTCTGAAACATCCTCTCTGCAATAGCTACATTATTTCATTTAAGATAAATAATGGGAAATTTACTCTAAAATTCACCCCCAGCCCTTTCATATGTCTTTCAACGCATTATATCAATCCATCTAACAAAACTTTACTCAAGATGGTATCTCAAAGTATTTTCAATTAAAAAATATTAAGCTGCTTCTTAAAGTTGGTACTCCTACTCTAAGAAAAATGTATATCTTGGCTTAGTAAAAAAACAATGAGATCATGTCATTAACGGGTTAATTATATATAGCTCACAGATTGCAATCATCTTAACCAAATCAAGATCCATAAATTCAAGTTCACTGAACATAAATTCCAAAACAGTATTTAAAAGTACTGCTATTTAAATTTATAGTAGTGTAAGTATTCTATGCAAGAGAAGAATGGGTTCAAAGTTCTAACGCCAATGGATCAATACTGTCAAATCAGGTGTTTCTTTCGAAGTGGCATGCATTAGATTTGAGTTAACAGAGCTCAGTGTGGTTTTTTTCCTTCTTTCACCATTTGTATTCCTTTGAAGAAAATCTTCTAGTAATGCAATCAAATTGCCTAACATCTGAGAAATTTTTATCTCCATCAAGTGGTGAGAACAATCGCACATCGATTAGCTTTGAAAACTATCTTTCAAAAGTGGTGCTGGTTGATGGTTGCGGATTGCATTTCATGCACAGATGTATTGAGAATCGAGTTAGATCCCAAAAATTTTTGAAGCGCAAAGAAATCGATGAACTTAAAAATTTATTTATTTATATCAAATGGCAGGCGTCTTGATGAATATCAATAGCCCTTTAGTTGACTTCAGGCTTCACAGAGGGGAAGAAATATCAAATTGAAAAAGTCGATAGGGGGGTGGGGGAAAGAAGTATTTCAAAGATGTAAGAGACAAACACAAAGGTAGAACAAAGGTGAGGTGAGTACTATGGAAATATTCCAAAATGGTAGAGTGAGGTGATGGTAGTTTGAAGTGACAAGTCAACTGTCAGTCAATAGACGTTTTTGCCCTATGAATATACGTTGCCCAGGGTGCACCACGTGGAGGTAAGTCTATCGCACACCCCAAAAACTTAAAAATAAATTCCACTTTATACTTCATTAGCACACAATGGGTTTTACGTCAGTTTATTTTTAACTCGTTTGAAAATTTATGTGTCTCCTGTCCTCAATTCGTGCCCACACCGTTGTATTGGAATTGTAAATAAAAGGGAAACGCCAATTATCGCAGTGGGCAAAATTTAACGATTGTCATGTAAACATCTGAAAAATTTAGCTGAAAGCAACTGTGAAACAGATGTTCGTGTGGGAGGAAGATGGAGTTTGATGCCGAAAGGAAAACTGCCTTCAAATAAGATAATTTGCTAAAATTGATTCACTTTTTCCTTTAAAATTCTGAGCAATTTCATGCTTATAAGTTACTTGTAACCAAAGATACAGGATGTATGCAAATTTCCTCGTCACTCTTATCAATAAAACAAGGCAGTCTAGTCTCGAAAAACTACTTCTTCTAGTTGCTTCAATTTCTTCATTCACTACACCGCCTAGAAACTGAATTCAAATGCGGTTCTTGAAAGATTAGTGATCCATACTACCTGACAACTTTAATACAAAGAGTCCGGATTGCCCCGTCGGTAGAGCATCAAACTTTTAATCTGAGGGTCTAGGGTACGAGTCCCTGTTCGGGCGCCAGTGCACGAGGGTGTGTACACGCTCATCACGGGGTGTGATGGACTTATCTCCACGTGGTGCACCCTGGGCAACGTATTAACTGACAGTTGACTTCTCACTTCAAACTACCATCTCCTCACTCTATATCATATTCGACTATTCACAGTACTCACCTCACCTTTTTTGCTACTTTTGTGTTTGTCTCTTACATCTTTAAAACACTTTTCTGTCCCCCCCCCCTCTCGACTTTTTCACACTTTGATACTCCTTCCTCTCAGTGAAGCCTGAAGTTAACTAAAGGGCTAATGATAACTATCATGACGCCTACCATTTGATATAAATAAATAATTAAATAAACTTTAATACACTATTGAAACTTGATATCATATTGTCGATTTTGCGTAAGCGATCAATTTCTCAAGATATTAGAGATAATTGGGCTGGGACCGTTTAAAAATACTAATGTATTCTCCTGCCACGAGCACGTGTATTGCATTTTGTCCTATCTGCCGTGTTTGGGAATATGTCCGTTTGACAAATTCCATTGTTCCTAATGGAATTCGTTGGTTGGTGGATATGATAAGAAATATATGAAATTGAGGTTGAAGAAAAAGAGATAAAAGAGAGAAACTGAGATTCTTGGGAAGCAGTACACGTTCACAGTTCTGCTGTAGTTCTCATTGATGAAATATTCGAAAATAATGTTAGTGGCAGGAGAGATTATTTGGAAGACAAATCGAATCCCCTGCTTTTCCAACGAAGTAGGAATGAGCTGACTAATACATTTCTTGCTAATAAAACTAAAGCAGGATGTATAGACGTTGCCCGTTGTTTTATGAACATTTCGTGACTTGAACTAGTTATGAGTTAGTAACAATTTAATGCGCAATACATTCCAATGCTTCAATCTACTCTTATTGATACATTTGCAAAAAATCGATTGAGAGTAAGTCTTTCACGCAGTAAACTATACCACATTAATCCATCTTTCATTTGTCGAATTCGGAGAATATTTTGTCAATATCGCATTTAAATTGAACAATTTGGAAAATTTGATATACTAATCAGTTTACTGAGACTTTTTAGCAAACGAAACAATTCCATTTGTCTGATCCAAATTACATTATGCCGAAAATTGTGTTCAGTCTTACCTACCTATTTAATCTATTTTCCACTACCATTTTCATTCACCTTGCGCCTTTAAACAACATCCACAGTCACAAAGTGACCTACTTAGTTATGTTAACAAGTCTACTCTATGAATCTAGTGGGAACGTTTTCGACAACGCTAAAATCATGAAACTTAAAGAGGAAAATGAAGAACCCGTTAAACGGCATAAATCAAAATGTTGACAAATTAAGACAAAATTGATGAAATCAATAATAGAAAAACAATGAATTGAGCTGAAAATTACAAATTTATTGTTTAAAATAGAAGCAAATATTGTGAAAGATTAGGGAACAAACTAGACTTTCAAAATCAAGGAAAATAGGAAGGAAAGAGCCGAAACAGCGAGATAAGGAGTAATGGTGTTAGATGCTGAAGTGGTTGTTTTTGGTGGAACGTTCTGATTGCCATCACCTCCTCCACCGCCATTTTGGTCACCACCTGTACCACCTCCACTGTCACCACCACCACCACCTGTACCACCTCCACTGTCACCACCATCACCACCTGTGCCACCACTTCCATTATCACTTCCATCACTACCTCCACCACCATCTCCGCCTTCATCTTGGCCCTGTGCCTTCGATGCCATCGTTATCAGGGCCGTCAAAAACAGCAAAGCGAAAATGAGGCTCTGAGTTCTCATTGCGTTCGCTGATGTGTACTCATGAACTCCAAAGAGCCTCTTCTTTTATACCTAACGATCATGTGGGCTACATCTTTGTTGTGGTTTTCTAATGCATGATTGGCTTTGAGGCTCAACCTACTTTACCTTCATGAAGTTGTTTACGATATACGAAACGAAGTTTTTAGTAATCATACGCCAATTATTCAGCAAATTTACGTTTTTATAAAATATGCAGTGGATTTCTACATTAATAAAGCCTTGACTGACTCAGAAGTCTCTGTGGCTGAATTTCCTTTATCTAGCTAGACTCCCAGAACTGGCTAAACCACAGTCCGCGTTTATTTTATATTCGTGTAATTTGTAGCAATACAAAATGCTTCATTTCTGACGAAACCTTGATTACAATTTTAACTTTCCTAAAGTTTTTCATTACATGAATGTGTAAAGAAAGTAAACTGCATCATTACTGGATACTGCTGATTGATGCTCTATGCAGAAGGTAATCATCATTGCCATCTTAAAAAAATGGGTATCGAAAGTGCCCACAATAATAATATGAAAGTATTCTCCTCTGTATGTCTCATTCCTGTCTCAGTAATTGTGATTTTGTCCCTCTTCCCATGTGTGAAACCGGTTTTCCATTCTTCCCTTACCTATTACGATGTCTCATAAGACAATCTTGAAATTAAATCGCCTCTTCTTGACTAAGGTACAAATCAGTAGCATATTCTAGCATTTATTTCCAATTATGCATAGTTGTCTTAACACACTTAAGTGGCAGAGCACTCGTTCCAGGATGGTCTTTCCTATGAAGCCCTTGATGTGAAAACGTGTGAAGTGTACTGGTGTGCAGTGAAAGGCGGAAGCTGATGAAGTAGCGCGAATGGAAACGTGTCAGCATGGAAAGCATTTAACCATGTCAACTAGTTGAAATGCAGAATACATTGAGCAGGTATTAAGTATAAATCACTTATATTTATATTGCATCATTAATAACATTTTGTGGTCTTTACTTCAAGCAAAAAATGATTATCATGTTGTTGTGGAAATTGTCCACACCGGTATCACAGAGAAGCCATGATAAGTCCAACTGAGTAGGTCACTTTCAAAACAATGGCAGACTCGACTTCGATGATGCTGAAAGATGAATGAAAGTGTTATAAAGATCTGTCTATGCATCTCGTACATACTGGGAACACTAAAAAGATTACACGCAATGAATATTTACAGTCATTGAAATCGCATTGCGGTTTTTTATTGGTCCTTGTGGAAGTCAGTTATCAATTTTGCACCCAATGTCCGTTTCACTTATTTAACTAGCCGTGTTTTCATAAACCCACCAAAACACTCCAAATTGTTACTTGAGATTGTGGGAAAAACAACTAGGCACAAAATAACACGCATTCACCGCAGTAATATCATTTTCACTTGCTCACGAAAAAAGGAAATCATTGTTTTTTTCTCACAGATTGATTGAAAGTGGAGTCCACTTGAAATCTGTTATAATTCAATTGACGATTACGCAATCTATTTAAGTGTTGCTCTGTGGAAAGTTCCACTGTGCTTGGAGGATTTCATGACTTATTGCAAAATAAATGGAGTTTATCCAGTGAAGTGTTCTCCAACATTTATCGCTATGTAATTATAGGACTTTTAGTGCTTATGTATTTCATATTTTGTGCAATTATTTTGGAATGGGACTTTGGGGTTAAAAATGTGCTAGTTTTGGTGAATTTCATGACTTTACCTAAAGTAAATAGAGAATATTGAGTGAAGTGTGCACGCTACTTAGGGGGTGCTTATCAGCAGAAAATTAGCTGTATTTATCTCTTATCACTGCTTATATTTGGATATTAGTTCTGTATTTCCCTGTGGTAATTTATTAGTGTCCTTAAACAGCACAGTTCGAAGGATTTACTCAGCTGTTTTTATACGTTGCATAAATTCAAGCCAACTGTTTAAGCTTGTTTAACCTCATACTATTAGAGAGTTTTGTCATTTGAGGAATTAACCGTTAACTAATTTAAATTATGCCAACTATCAGAGGTGTTAAATAAGTTGGCGGTCAATGCTCAGAGTCAAGTGTTGTAGGAAATAGAGGAAGAGATTCATAACCCTCTCTCAGACTTCCATAGACCTGCAAAATATATAGTAATGATTGACTGATTTCAAAAGGAATTCTTCCATGGCACGGCCTCAAAGAATGGGTGGTTCAAAGGTCATACGTTTGGGGGTTGGAGAGTTGTGTGAATTGACACGAGTGATTCTGCATGTATATTTTTGACTAGATGCGTTTGATGCATTGGTAACATTCTGCTGATCGTACAAATTGCACTGCTGATTACGTTGAATAGCCTTTTTTGTCTAAGGTCTATGAGGCTGATTTATGACAGTTAAGACTATTAATAGTGATAAGTAAAAAAATTTACTTTGTCTCACAGAAAGTCGTTTGTCTTAGAGCAATTGGGGAACGATTTCTTTCAAATTCTGTACTTATACTGAAACAACGTCGTAGCAGTGTTGATTAATAAGTACATGTTCTATGATTACTTGATAATTGTTTGACAGTGACTATAATGTCCTCCACAAGTTTGTATATATCTAACGCAAATTTTCAAGTATCAGTTCTTGAAGAAAAACTCCCAGTAATGCAATCAATTTGAATTGAACCTGCGATATTTTTGCCTCCATCAGGTGCAGACTGTCTTTCAAGCGCAGGCGTTTTGCGAATTGAGTTGGAATTCAGAAGTAGTTGAAACACGACAAAATCAACGAGTTTGAAAATGAATTTAGCCAAGTACTTCATTACTACACATTGGGTGTTGAATCAGTTAAATATTAACTCGGTTGATGAGTTCATTGCATGCTGGCTATTTATTGGGATATGGGTCTTTAATTTGTGTTCCATAACTGTATTGAAATAATAAAAGAAACGCAAATCTCAATCTTTAGGCAAGTGCTAGACGGTTATTCGGGGTGAAGGAAGATGAAGTTTGTTACCACAGACGTAGACGGTCTTCAAACAGGCCATATAGTAAACGTTATTCCTTGTTTCCTTTACAATTCGGAACAACTTCCGGATTATAGGCTTCTTTCAACCAATGATGTTGACAGTACATCCATTGCCTCTCGATTTACTACTTTTCATGGAAAATGAACTTAAGTGCCTTTCTTCTAGCCCAGTCAACCAATTTCATGTAACGTTTGGTAGGAACAGTCATAAACCTTCAAGAACAGCTCTACCGAATATTAGTAATTTCGCGTTCATCATAACTTATCCGAGGGAAATGACTTCATGAAAGAAGACTGCAAAGATTTTTCCAGGAATCTCTAACAGAATCTTCATTTTCATAGGTTAATCCCTTCTACAACTCTCTCGCGTTTGTTTGTACTTCTTGGAACAAATGCAGACTTAAATTTTGGAAAATTCATCACGATTTCAACCCACTAACTCGCAATTGTCATATTCTTATGCTGAGTATAATTTAAAAGGAAGACACAATGGAAATGTCTCTTGAAGAGGCCTCTGCTAATAGGAGTAATGGTATGTCTAATAATTTAGAGAAATTAATAGCATCAGATTGTGGGATGATTTGGTATTCCTGCTTCAAAGGCACTACTGGATGACAGTAAATTCTTCCTCGCCTTTCATTCGTAATACTTTATTTCTCCTTGTTTGCATATGTGTTTATTTCGCGGGAAAATCTCCTTCTAGGGTCGCTGTCTTCTATCCACGTGGATGCCAATTATGTGGAGGTTGGATGATTGATGATTCACACTACCTTACCACTTTAAAACTCGCTTGAAGTTTAATGCCGAATTGTCAAAAATGCGTGTGAGCGTTCAAAATCTCACGACATTAGAGATGATTGGTCTGAACCGTGTTAATATTAATGTGTTCTTCCGTCATGAACACATATATTGCACAATTTTAAATTTTAATTTTTAGAATAGTTTTGTGTGTAGGAACTGTTATAGATAGCCTAGTGAGTTTTACTAATTATGATATCACTCCATCATCTAACTCTATCTAAGCGCTCGTAAGCTTAAATCGAAGTGTTGTCTGTGATATGCCCTACCTTTCTGCTTAGCCAATCAAGGTCACATTGTAGTTCTGCTCATGGCTCTGGTCTGTGTTACGAGAGGCAGCGATTAGTACTAACTTTCATTTATGGTGCTTACCATGTCTTAAAAGATGTGATGTATTATTTATTTATATCAAATGCCAGGCGTTGTGAAAATTATCATTAGTCCTTTAGTTGATATCAGACTTCACAGATGGGAAGGAACATCAAAGTGAAACAAGTCGAGAGGGAGAGGGGGAACAGAAGAGAGATTCAAAGATGTAAAAGAGGCAGGCACAAAAGTGGAAAAAGGTGAGGCGAGTACTGTGAAAGTAGTCGAATGTGACATACAATGGGGTGAGGGTAGTTTGAAGTCAGAAGCCAACTGCCAGTTAAATGACTTTTTTGTCGTATGAGTTTACGTTGCCCAGGGTGCTCCACGTGGAGGTAAGTCTATCGCACACCCCTAAAAGATGTGATGTCTGAATGGGGAACTAAAATTCAACTCTAAGGTAGCATTTCCACCGACTTCTAGCATTCTGCTTCTTTTTGACTCCGGAGTTGAGATTTCACCATCTTGAAGGCTGTTTAATTCATGAAATCAGATTTGACAATAAATGCCTTGAAATTGCTTGTCCAATAATTAAGAGCATGAGTGAGGTATAAACCACTAGTTTACACGCTACACTTATAAACTCAAATTGGGGCCACCGTGACTTCTCTACTGAAGAAGACAGAGACTACGAGATATGAGTCGCTTTAGGTATTGTGAGAAATTTCACAACTTAGATATTTATGAATGCATTATTCGAATTCTACCAGACCACTCCTGCGAACAAGAAACGAACCTAATTAGAAAAGATGTGGAATCTTGATACAAAACCGAGATACTTGAAAATGCTTTAATTTGAGCAAGAAAAGGTATATATGAAATTCAGGCTGCAAGGCCGATTTTCTGCTAGAGCACACTTCACTGCCTATACTCAATTTACTTTTCATAGTGTTATGGAATTCACCAAATACCATTCACGATTCGAAACTACCAAATTAAAGTTCAATGAATATTTAGTTTTTTCATGAGTTAGAAACGGATTCATCTCTTCAAAATAGGCAATATTAAAACATCACCGAAAGTTGAGTCTGTAATTGTTTTTGAAATGCGACTTTCTCAGTTACTCTTAAAATGGCCTTTCTGTGAATACCATGTGGGGATTTTCAGTAATTCAATAATAGTATTCCCTCGAATCAAAGATCGCAGGAATGTGACGATGCAATAAAATAAAGAATGATTCGCATTTAATGCATGAGTAATATATTTTGCATTTCAACTAATCGGTTTGATGAAATACTTTCCATGTTGACGTGATTGACACTTCCATTCACCTCTACGCTATTTGTGCTACTTCATCCACTTTCGCCTTTCACTGCACATCAGTGCATTTCAAGTGTTTTCACATTAACATGCTTTAATGATCAAATGCTTTGTAGGGAACACCAATTCGAGGGACAAAACCACTATTACTGAGACACGAGTGAGACAAATAGAGGAAAATACATTCATGCTATTGCAAGCACTTTGGCTCACAATTATTTAAGACGACAATGATGAGTACCTTCTGCATAGAGCATCAATCAGCAGTATCCAGTCATGAAGCCTTTCGTCTTCTTTACACATTCATGTGATGAAAAACTTTAGGAAATTTAAAATTGTATTCAAGGTTTCGTCAGAAATAAAGCATTTTGTATTGCTACAAATTACACTAATGTATGCGTTCACAAATAATCGCGTTCCACGGGATACCTCTGTTTCATCTTTAGCTGGGCTGTAGTTTACCTAGTTCTGGGAGTCTAACCAGATATAGAAAATTCTGCCACAGGGATTTCTGAGTCAGTCAAAACTTTATTAATCCGCTATATATTTGAGTCTATTTTGGCGAAAAAATGACTAGGCGATAAATTTATATAATTCTTAAAAAACGTAAATTTGCTGGATAATTGGCGTATGATGACTAAAAACTTCGTTTCGTATATCGTAAACAACTTCATGAAGGTAAAGTAGGTTGAGCCTCAAAGCCAATCATGCATTAGAAAACCACAACAAAGACGTAGCCCACATGATCGTTAGGTATAAAAGAAGAGGCTCTTTGGAGTTCATGAGTACACATCAGCGAATGCAATGAGAACTCAGAGCCTCATTTTCGCTTTGCTGTTTTGGACCGCCCTGATATCGATGACACCAGAGGCACAGGGCCAAGATGGAGGCGAAAATGGTGACACAGATGGTGATGGAAGTGGTGACACAGGTAGTGATGGAGATAATGGCACAAATGGTGATGGTGGTGGTGGAGGCGGTGGCTCAAACGGAGGTGGTACAGGTGGTGACCAAAATGGCGGTGGAGGAGGTGATGGCAATCAGAACGTTCCACCAAAAACAACCACTTCAGCATCTAACATCATTACTCCTTATCACGCTGTTTTGGCTCTTTCCTTCCTATTTTCCTTGATTTTGAAAATCTAATTTATTCCCTAATCTATCACAATATTTGCTTCTCTTTCAAATAATAAATTTGTAATTTTCAATTCAATACATTGGTCTCCTATTGTTAATTTCATTAATTTATTCTAATTGTCAGCAAATTTGTCAATGCCGTTTTAAGAGTACTTCATTTTCCACTTCTAATATCATAACGGATTCGATTTGAGCTAAGCAATCTTCAATTAATCAATCAATATATATGGAGAGTGATTGTGATGCCTATTATACTTGATAGTGTTTTGAGCGGTTCGCATAAGGTGGGAATAAACATAAATTTCCTTATTCACCTATATAGCGTCGAATAAAAGAGTAGGTTTACAAATGAACATTTCCAATTAATTGTACATAACGAAATGTTTTCGATTTATTTTCTAGTGCAATTGACATTTGACAAGGAATGGTGAGCATAATGGGTACTTTACCTTTAATTGAACTTATGCTGAATAATTGGCTAATGATCACTCATACATTTGTATTAAATGGTAATTGTCATAACTTGGGTTTATTTATTAGTGAAATACCTTTGTTTACACTAGTCTTTTTATCTCATTAAATAAAAATATTAGACATTTCACAACTCGAGTGCAAATAAACGGGGCAGATTTAAGCATTGGCAACCGTCTATATGGCAAGTTAAAAATACTTTTCCATTTCATCTGAAACACCATCTTGTCATTGGCCAATGGAAGAATTTGATCATTGTACATAGTGATTCAATTTTCTTTGCCTCTAATTATGCACAGCTCTACGCCAATGACGATCCAGCATCATGTGAAATCATTTTAATCTCTCCTATTCCCTTTTATTTCGCTTCCAAATCACAAACAATTCGTCGTGGTACATAAAGCATGGCTCCTGAGGAAACCATGAATATAATTTTAACTTACCAAAAGTTAGTCATCACGTGAATGTGTAAAGAAGACGAACGGCATCATTACTGGATACTGCTTATTGATGCTCTATGCAGGAGCGGTGAAAATGCCCACAATGATATGACTGCATTCCCCTCCGTGTGTCTCACTCCTGTCTCAGTAATACTGATTGTGTCCCCCTTCCCAAGTGTGAATTTGATTTTCCCTTTTTCCTCTTATCTAAAGCGCTGTCTCAGAAGGCTTTGTAGAACCAATGCCCACACACTGGGTTGCATTTAAGTATTCAGTTGTTAGTAGTACTTCGAGTAAGCGTACAAATTGATCGTCCTGTTAATCAGTTAGAAAGGTCAATAATGACGTCAGCCATGACTATCTTGAAAGTAAATCGCCTCAACTAAACTAATGTACAAATCAGTAGCATATCCTAGCATTTGTTGTGAAAATGAGCTTTTTATGCCAAGTTGTCTTGACACACTTAAGAGGTAGTGCACAGCTCCAAGTTGGTCTTCCCTACAAAGCCTTTGATCATAAAAGCATGTTAATGTGAAAACTCTTGAAATGCACTGATGTGCAGTGAAAGGCGGAAGCGGATAAAGTAGAACAAATAGTACAGAGTGTGAGTGGAAGCGTCAATCGTGTCAACATGAAAAGCATTTCATCAAGTGGATTAGTTGAAATGCAGAATACAATGCAGATGTTAGATGCGAAACACTCGAATTTTATCATTTTAACATCCTGTGGTCTCGGTTTCGTGCAAATATGGTTTTAATGTTGTTGAAAATCTCCACACTGAAATCACAGGACAACTATGAAGAGATGAATTTGTTTAAAATGGACGAAAAACGGCATTCAATGGACTCTGTCTTGTTCGATTTTTAGCAACTCACATACACGCACATATATCTCTATGTCATAGAGTTAGGCAGTGTTTTACAGTTCTCATTCAAAAATCGCGCACAATGAACAAGTGCATAGTTAATGAAATCGTATTGTGGGTTTGGTCATTTTGTCCTTGTAGAGAACAGCTATCAATTTTGTACAAAATGTCAGTATCAATTCTATTTCAAGTCATGCTTTATAGACCCACCAATAACTTCAAATCATTACTTGAGATTGTGGTGAAAATAAGGAGACGAAAAAACGCAATTCTCCACAGTGATGTCATTTTCACTTGCTCTCGGAAAAAATGGAATTGTTATTTTTGCCTCTCAAATTGATTGAAATTTGAGTCCACTTGAAATGTGACAAAATTCAATTGACGACTACGCAATCTACTTGAGTTCTGTATGGAGTTCTGTTTTTGTAAGGAGTCTTTGTGGTTAAAAAATGTGTCAGTTGAACTATATTTAACCCAACTCTCTATGTATTTTTTTAATTCGGGAGTCAGGTAAAGCAAATTCTCTGTCATTCACTCAGGTAAAACATACATCCCATTTCAGCGAATATAGTATACTGCTCTTGAAAGGTAGGATAGCAAGTATCCTTCATCCTAATGACATCAATAGCAGTCTCACATACTATCATCAATATCGTAGCACCATTCACCCTTCAACAATCTTTCATACTCTCCCCTCCCCTCCATCTCTCTAAAATGAGGCCTTAACTCGACTCGTCCCTCGGTCCTTGATAGGAAAGGGTATGAGTTGAAGGATGTAGAAAGTATCAGCTTATGAAAAGGATAGTGATGTCCCCATCATCAAAATTCTCTCAATCACAATTTCACTGGCTCACGTTCCATAGTTCCAATTTAAAGAATCGTTCATGAATTAATGAGCAATTTTGCTCCTCTGCTCTTAATTACTGTTGACATCGAGAATCACTAGCTCTATGGACCAAATCTCTACACCTTCCTTATAATACACCGGATATTTTTGTTTTCAAGATGTGGCGAAAATACCTCACTCCGATTAGCTATTTTTTCATATTTCCTACTTTGTTTGAATTATACTTTCACTATGCGTGTATTTGAAATTGTTATAGAAACCAGCTACATTTGAAACTCAGTGAAAACAAACCATTCTATCATTAATTCCTCCCTAATGCTCAATTTACAAAAATGATACTTCAAGGAGGGTTAATTTTAAAAGAGTAATTTCATAATTGCGGTTGAACGTGTAAATACAGATCAGAGATTATGCTCAGGCTGACAATTTCCTCTAATTTGCGTAATTTGATTTAAGTAACATATTTTGATGTTTGCCAGTATAGTAGGCCCCTATTGTAAAGCAATGGGTTTGAAGGAATGCATCTTGGTGTGCGAGTGAAGTGGTCTAACATCTGAGGCATATTTATCTAGAGGAGGTGGCGAATGCACCTCATGCCGACTGGCGTTGAAAATGGTCATTCAACGGAGATGTTGACTGTTTGTTCAACCATGAACTTTTTTGGAGTATCCTTCAATCTCACGTGTTATGAAAAAAATCCTATTTTGAGTTTTGTTTCGCTTCTTTTGATAACTGAAAATAGAAATTTCCTCAAAACGAACCAACCTTTAAATAGAATAAAAACTTTGGATCTAATCACCTCTGTTCGCTAATTTTATGTAATACTAACATAAGGTGGTCTTGCTATATTTCAGGTAGCGTTAAGTCAAATTCATCGAGTAAATCAATCTCCACTAATTTATCACATCAACACGTTGGTTTGAGGTAAGATCTTTGACATGGAAAAGTTGGTAGTTTCGCTGTAATAGCCTCTTTTACTGCTAATCAAAACTCATTTATGTTGATGGAGATAACGAAAGCATCGCATGACGTTTCCCATTTTGTGAAAGCATGGATCAGTAAGTCTCTGAATGTTCACTAGTTCACTTCTTAGCAATTTTCTTGCCTTCGGGCATTAACTGCTGCTAGAATCTAATAATATTGAGTCTGATGAATGCTGAGTTTTCTGCGAGTTCAATACTATCTCGGATTGCTACGCTAATAAGTCGTGGTTGTACTCAGTAATCTCTATGGCAGATTCTCCTATGTTTGCTGAACTAGCGCAAAGCTATCGAGGAAACAGATGTACACGTGGAATGCGTTAATTTTGGGCTTCGCGTGTGTGTAAACAGGCGGGTAACCTTGTCAACCAAACGAAGACTATTGATTGGTGGTTCACTGTGTGTTCACTGCTCACGCGACCGCACGTACGCCTTGACGAATTGCAAGACCGCACCTTCATACCTGCCTAAGTGTGCATGAGATTACTTCATTCAGCGGTGACAACATTGTACGCTCCGCAAAATGGATTCATCTCACATAAAAAATATCTTAACCAAAAGTATTTTTACTTATGATATTTCAATTCGATGATAATATTCAAAAATGCATAAATGAGGATTTTCCATTATTGCTGAGGTAGTAAGATATGTTGTTACTATACTACAGTGACGATTACTTGTCTCCTTATCAAGTCAGCACATATTATAATAATAAATTAAATAAGTCTTTTATTTTGGAAATTAGTTTAGGTGATGCGGTATAAGGTTTTTCAACAGTCGCTGCCATGGTTAAAATAGTAAAATATGTGTTGTTAGTTCTGCCTCCCAAAATACAATATGGCGAAAATTTAAGATAATAAAACTTAAATTGTGGTGTCATTTTAAGTAATAGTTCTATTTCCTCATATGTTACTTCCACACATTCCAGACCATATCGATTTTTGCAGATTTCATTTTAAATGTGTTGTTCTTATGTTCTATATTATGAAAAGTTCTAATAAATAGTTTGAAATAGACTAAACTGCATAGTTAAATGGAAATAGCCGACATGTTGAAAATAATAATAAAAAGTAAAACAGATGTGAAGCAAATTCCGTCTATTTAGATGAAAATCTTTGGGAGAAATCAAGGCGTATTAACACAAGTATTTCCAATTTGGCGGAATGTATTGAATTCTTATTATTTAATTCCGCAATGCAAACGATACTGACTATTAGGCTTATTCTTATCCCAAACGATGACGAAAGGTGGGCAATATTAAAAGATTACCAATTTAATAAATTTAAAATAATTTTAAGCCTTAATAGAAGTAGTATTAATCCGCATCTGATATTAAAAAGGCATTTTGAATCGAAAATGACAATAGATATGCATTCACATGTAAGTACGTGATATAGCTATCTTTATCATGATTACAAGTGCAATTTTTTTCAAATTTATAAATGGTTATTAATAATATTTTTATCACAGTAAACGATGTTAGTTGGGCATTGAATAACTGCTGGAATAACATTAGTAATGATGACTTAATAAATGTCAGACTGAAAAATAATGAAACAAAGCTTTTCATATTGTTGATTTCAAGCATTACTAATTACGAAAATGTGTATGGTCGTACACTACTAAACACAAATAGGTGAAAATATATAGGATATTCTGTTATTTCATTTGCAAAAAGAATGCGGTTTTATTAAACTAATTTAAGGTCAAACTAACCGAGGTGCTTTTTTTAGATTTTTAGGCTTTGCTTCGCAGACCTGTGTAACCGATATGAAAACTAAGCATCGAACTAAAGATTTAGATCAGGTATTTTTTAATTTTTATTTTACCATTAGATATACAACGACAAACAACCAGAAAATATTAATAGATGTATAAACGAGGCGACGAAAATTGATGAAGACAAACCCGCATTAGGCCAAAATTTTTGCATGCCTTGTGATAAATACTTCTGCGATGAAAAGGCACTTCAGGCTCATCTAAAGCAAAAGCCCCACAAACGCCGAATGAAAGCCCTTGAAACTGAGCCTCATAGTCAAGTAAGTTGCGAATATGTATCATAAAATTTTACCACTCTTTTTACTAGGAAATTGCCGACTGGGCTGCGGGTGTTGCATCTCGTAAACGAAACAGAGAAATGATATCTTCAGTGCCACATAAAAAGAAGGCTACATATGATGATGCGCAAGTTTCTATGGCATATTCTGAAGCACCAAACCGTGGAGAACCGAATCTGGAGCAGACAGAAGACGAATATGAGCAGTCTTATTTGGCTGTGGATTGATGTTGTACATTCTGTGATCATGAAAATTTTGTAAATAATCACATCTTTATTATTTCAATTGGCAAACCCTCATGTTGACTTCGGCCATCACTGAACATGTGAATTGGAGATGTCGTGGTCGGGATTGGTGTAACTATAAATGCATTTACCCAGATGGCGAAAACTAGCCTTCTGCTTATACTTACAATAAGCTTTCTCCCAGAATGCTTTACTAATTGTACTAAGGCCATTACCATCTTCACCACTAATCTATACAAATGTTCCACAATTGCCTATCCACTTTTTACTTGACAGTTCAAAAGAGGAAATAAGTGTACAAAACAACTTTATTGATACAAAGGTAACACGGCGGATTATTTTCGGTTTTCACATTTGTGCGATCTAAAACGAATGTATGATTAAAGTAATAATTAGTCAATTTATATTCCCTTTAAAATTACTTAATCATAGCAGATAAAGCACTCAATCAAAGGGTTAAAATGAAATATATGGTTTTAAGTACGCCAGAGTGAAACAATGACGGTTGCAAAAAGCAAATTAATTTTGCCTCTCTTTGTAGCCACAACTCTAACATCGTGGGGATCATAAGAGGCATTTTGATGTTACCACACGCTTACCTACAATCGAATACAAAGACGGCCAGATGAAACTAAATCGAAAAACTTATTTTAAATTTTTGCAAGCACTCAGAAAATAAGGTTAACCGCATGTTAAATAGGAATAGCGTATAGGTCATCACTTAGAACTCACCATTCCGGATCACTGAAACCTGTAATCAAAAATGGCAGTATTAAAACGTGAACAAGATTGAAATAATCAGAAAAGTAAGATGTAATCATTATCATAGTGGTGCATGGTCATCATGACGTACCATGACTAAACCCAATGGTGGCCTAAGATCACAAGTGCATCTAAAACAATCACAGAATAATGTACATAAACGAAATTCAGATAATTGGGTTCATGGAGCATGGTCATAAATAAAACAAACCTTGGAGGAATAAATCGCTACAACATATTTGGTTCGTAACTGGTGAGTACCTACTAGAAAAGAAGCTTAGTTAGAACAGGCACAGGTCAGCAAACGACAATCATCATTATTAACAGTCCGCCCGTCGAGTTTATCATCACATGCACCTACCCACGAATCAACCATGCCACTAGAAAGTATGTGCACGACTGAATTCATTTTAACTAATTGAATTGTTGTTTTAAAATTTATTACTATTTCCGTAAAATCCCAATTATATTCAAGTATTCTTTTTTCGAACTTTTATTTAGGTGATTTAAGCAAATTTATTCAAAATTTCCTGATCGTACAACAACCTTAGTGATTTAAAATATCATTAAAATTACAATTTCATTAAATTGTTTATAGAAGTATTTTATTAATATCAATATCCTTAAGAAAGAACTGAATAATCGTCATAAAAGTATGGGAATATACATGTATCATGATTAACTATCCCAGTCAAAAGCATTATAAGAGTAATTAGATAAATACATATTTTACCGTCAATCTTAGGGCTTGTTCGCATCAGAAATTTCGTTTGTGTCACGAATCTGGCTTTTCGTATATTTAATCTCAATTTGAGGTATTTTATTTCCCAAAATAACCATCGTCACAAAGTAGTTTGAAGTTCCGAATGCGTTAAATAGGGTTTTATGACAAATAATTCATTATATTTTCTTTGGTAATGAAACCTAACCCACGATCTAAAAGTAAATTGTAAAATTTCCAGTTTTCATCTAAGTTCTATTTATTTTTTCAAAACAACTATGAGACTTCCTCATTGAATTTCCAATTTGGGACTGATTTGGTTAATTTGAGTTTTCATTGAAAGATGTTGACTATTCTTATAACTTACCTATTTGGTATTTTTTTAATTGGTTCCATATTTGATAAAACAAGCGAATTGTTATTGTACACGTAATTCTTTCGTATTAAACAAAGCATATTTTATGGCTAACGCCTATTAAAACTTGATCAAAATATGTAATTCCCCATAGTAGAGCATCATTTCAGCGATTTGCCGCTTCATGTTTGTGGGAAATATCAGAGAATTTTAACTTAAAACTTATTGTCACTAATTGTCCTTAGGCATTCAAAATATTGTTGTGAATTTGTAGCCAATCAGGAGACGGTTTTAATAATCTTTTTTTACTTCCAATTTGGTATATATTTGAGTAATCACTGAAACTACTATTTTACCAACATATTCATTTTAGTTATTGGGTTGATATTTTGTACATTTCAACTTGTGCAATCTTCAACCTAATTTTCTAGACAGAAAGAAAACATATATGGCAAAAATTTTTCATGTCTAATTTCAAAATATGACCAATCTAATACACATTTTATAAGTCCGCATGAATTATTTAAAGGATATGCTTTATTATATAATAAGGCGAGGAGACTATAAAAAGTCTTTATCTTGGATGGGAGAAAGATATTAGAATATGCGACAGAATAGTATATTTTTAAATGACATTACGATTTATCTTGGAAAAAATCTAACCTAAAATCTAATTAATGACAAAATAATTGGCCTCACAAATTATTGTTAAGAGTTCATCTAGGTTTTCAATAATATATGAAATCAATCCAGATATAGTTGCTCAACACAATACCTAATACCCCATTTAACGAAGTAAGATGTGTTTTTCTTCTCCCTCTCTGGCCTTAACCTCGCTTATTCTACGATTAAACCTTGTGCAGTGGGCAAAGCCCAGATTACCCTAACGTTATAAGCAATTTTCATAGGTCGAAGAACAGATGTTGCGGTATATATATGAGAGAAAAATGGAAACATCAGTAGCATGAAGGCCTTAGTATGCAAAAGGAACAAATGGTTGGTGAGAGGTGATATAACAACCACATTGGAAAAGGACCTTACCAAACAATATGATTTATTAACGAATTAATACTTCATCCACAGAACTAAATGAATCAAGCCAAACCAATTTTAACATCTTGGCCACGAACCCAACCAGATCTAAAATTGATCGATACCTAACACAATTAACCACTCCTTAAAATCCACTTTAGTATATACGCATTAAAGTGGTCAATGGAGAATTTTATTTAATCGATAATAAATGTCGGTCATTTTTAGGTGGTACACTTTGAATGAATGTTTAACATATTGCAATATAGTTCAAGTTCTTACAAAGTGTTATTGATAAATTTACCTTCTTTAAGCCAAAAGAAAATTGTTCCATAAAATAAGGTTAGTCAGAAGAGTCAGAATTAGTAGTAATCTTAACAAAAGCTGTTTAACAACATTTTCTAGTGGTCTGAAATAGCCCCTCCGCTTGCATTATGCAGCTCATAGAAGGCGCCTTTCAGCTGGAGAAGAGCATTGGGAGGGCCATATTCCACACGTTTTCCACCCATAAGGACAACAATCTCATCACAGTTCATCACAGTTGTTAGACGATGTGCAACAACGAAGCAAGTTCTACCACCATTAGCCTCACGCATAGCTTCATCCAATGTCTGTTGAACAATTCGTTCACTGTCCACATCGAGAGCTGATGTAGCTTCATCAAGAAGGAGAATCTTTGGTTTTCGAATAAGTGCGCGAGCAATAGCTACCCTCTGCTTTTGTCCACCGGAAAGCTGAGAACCTCCTGCTCCCACGTTTGTATCGTAGCCCTAAATAAACATGTGCAAGGCAATGTATAAGTCTAATCGATATGACAATACTCTGTATAAATAGAAACCCACATCAGGCAAAGTTGAAATGAAATCATGAATGTTAGCCTGCTTTGCGGCTTCTATAATTTCTTCCATTGGTGGTTCATCTTTACATCCATAGGCAATGTTTTCTTTAATGGAAAGATTGAAAAGATTAGGTTCTTGTGATACAACGCCTATCTGTTCACGAATCCAGGCAGGAGCGAGGGAACGCAAGTCGCGGCCATCCAAGAAGATACCACTGTCATCTCCACGATTATCCACATCATAGAGACGTTGAACTAGTTGAAGGACTGTAGATTTTCCGCAACCAGAAGGACCCACCATTGCAGTAGAAGTACCCGGTTCCACCATATGAGTGAAATTCTTAAGGAAAGCATGGTTTTTTCTTTAATGATCTATCTTATGGACCACTATAAACTTAGAATTGCTCAATTTTAATACCTAACTTTAAACGAAAGCCAAATGCAATTAAATTTTTTATTTACCCTAAGAACACGGTGTTTCCTTCTTGTAGGATAGCGGAAGTGAACATTCCTAAATTCGAATCTTCCCTTTGGTGGACCGAGTGGAAATTCCCCTTCATTAACATCCATCCTTGTCTCTCGGTGAATTGTTTGGAGCGTTTTCTTGATTTTCTGAGCTGCTTGCGTGAAATCAGGTGCAAATGTAGCGGCTCGACCGAGACCCTGAGCAGCAAAATTCACTGCAGAAAAAATTCTACAAAATAAACAATTAAAACATAAGGTAATTAATTTGAGCCACATTTAACCCAACGCCTGGTACCATAAGATCTACTTATATCTCACGAATTGACAATGCTTTAATAATTAAAACACAAATAAGGTGCTTATTCCGAATTCTACGTATTATTTTTTGAAATTCAACGTCCTAACTAAATTACGATTAATAGCACATTTCTAGAATTGCAGCCGATTCAATTTTTAAATGATTAAAAGCCAAGCATCACCAAGACATATACGGACTTTAAGTTAACTGTTGAATGAATTATAAATGTTCAATTTTTTTACCCTTGTTTTCATTTTCTCACCTAGATAATTCTACATTTCAGTGAGTATCCAGTGAAGGGTTTCAACCGTTTTGAGAACTCATTTTGGGATTCTGCAATCCAAATTTCCACCAATTTAATTACAATTTACCTATGTGTACCCAAGTTGTTTCAGTTCGTACCTTTTGGATGACTCAGGAAATTAGGTTTGACAAATACCAGACCGATTGACGACAAGTCTCAAAACACTTCTCTCTCACAGGCTTTCAAATTCCATAGTACCTTTTATTTCACACTACCAAAGACTGACCTGAACATGGTAGGCAATGGGATTTCTCCACGGTCAAACAGTAAGCATCCGACATGGAAATAAGCAGCAATTAGGAAGAAGAAAGTTCCATTAGCCAAAGCATGAACAAATGCGAATTGTGCCGCTTCCCCATATCGAGACCGATAAAAGGAGGAGAATTCTTAGTAATCCATAATAATGACAAGAAAAAATACAAAGCCAAAAAAGTACATACTTGATTGACGTTTTAGATTCCTGGCGGAATTTATGGTAAATGAACTCCTCCAAGCCCAGGGCTGCGACAGTTCGATTGGAAGCAAACGCCTCTTGAGCCACATTAGCACCTTCAACTTGATTTTGACCAACTCCTCCACTTAGTTGACGCGTCTATATTTTATTAAATAGGTACAATTAGTTTTAATCAAAAGTACAAAATGTCAAAAGTTTTGACCTTTGCTGTCAATTCATGTGCCAAGTTGTGTGATAAGATTATAATGGCCTCTCCATATAGATACTGCAATAATTTTGCGGGAAATTTTTATAATTTATTTTCATATGATAAAGCCCTTGATGGAGTAAATTATCGGCTACTAATGACTGCTTTAACTCAAATGCAAGAATTCAATACTTACTACTGATTCAATTAAAGGTATAATATCAGTTATTTGAAATTATTCAGAAAGGCAGAGAGTATGAGTAGGTGGCAGCGGAAACCATCCATTAGGAAAATAAATAAGTACAGAGTGGTTCGCATTAAGAGTAAACACATCTTAGGGAGTTCTGGCAACTTGACATTTTCACTTATCTCATATTCGCTCTGCTAAAGATGTAAAGTGTACAAGATTATATTAAATTACTCGCAATATCCAGTGCTTACAAGGAAAAAATCTGTTGAAGAGACGAAACTACCCATTCTTGATTAAATATTACCTATCAATAAACATTGAACATCGAATGCCAGCATATACAACGTTTGGTAAAACAATGATTTTTTAAATTGAACAGTTCATTTACTATATGCTCTATAGCAAGCGTCCATTGTCATCTTAATTTTACTCTATGCAACTTTTGGCAAATTCCTATTGATCACTTATTGAACTGGTGAGCTGCTTCGTACGAATAAAACTTTTTTTACATTTTAATTACTTTAGAAAAGGATAAGAATAGTAATAAGATAATAAATGGTCTGCACTTGCTATCCATGGGTAATTGTTATTCTTCCTAGTAGAGCAATGGGGGGGGGGGGAGTCCAATTATGACATAGGAAAAAGTAGGGCAAAACTTAAAGTATAAGTTTCACATCGTACGAAATCAGAAATCATCAGTCTCATAAGCATCAAGGTTAATTTCCACCTTGGTTGCAGAAGGTTAAGCCGTAGATTGATTTAAGTGATTGATCACACTATCTCAGCATGTCTGAAGGTCGACGAGTTAAGACGTGTTGTGTATTGGAAGTCAGGGTGAATACCTTGAACATCAGATGTGAACTGGAGAATATGCAGTACTTTGTTATTGGCAATATTCTGAATTTGCTACTATTAAATAATCGTATACCTCCCATTTACTTTCTCTTTTCACGTCATGGTCAGCGTAATTCAACCGCATAGCGGATTTTACTCAAATTATTCTAAAGTTTTCAATTTGAAATGAGGTGAAGGACTGCAACCGATATTATAGTTGTGACAATTGTTTACACTTTAACAAATCCCCCAACGTTACAAGAGTTCATGACATTAAAGTTAATAAAATTAACGGTAATCATGAACTTAAAACAGTAAAGACCAGATCATTGAGTCAGCAAAATTACCTCTTGAACAAAAAAGCATAAAAGGCAGTTCAATTAGAGGGAAATTTCTAGAGCGTTAAAAATTGTCAATCAAGCACGATTTATTAGCTTGAAAAACAGCTGAAATGTCAATTATATTTCTAACAAGTCAATGCATTATGATCGCTTAAATGATCCCCCCACCCCAAATAAACAATAAAGCAGTTCTGAATAACGTAATTTTTAACGATCACGCAGACATCTACGAATAAATTTTGACCTTGAAAGGAAATGACTTTGAGCATCAAAATATATTATGAAGTGTGCAACGGTGTCATGGCAGAACGAAGAAATCTAATGTGTTCTCAGACTCGAAGATGCAGCGCGCTACTTTTCACGTTGGGAGTGAGTGTGGTCAGACAACCGTCAATCATTAGCCTTGTATGATTTACCAAACCCCTCAATTTATTAAACGACTAAGGTCTCTGTCTGTAAAAACACCGTCCAAATAAACGGATTCCATGCAATACGTCTATTTCCTCCATAGCTTTGCGGTAGCTTAGTTAATCCTGGGAACCATTTCAACCTAGGAGAACTTATTATTTAGATTGGTGGGCCTAAGTCAAGGCTTATTAGTGTTGCCATCCGATGCTATACCTATTAAGTGAAGAGCACCTAGTCTAATGCTGCCTGAATCATGCCTCCTATTTTTACCTCTCACCACCTGATTCTTTATTCCGTTTTCTTCTTTGTTTCATACTTTAACGCTCGGATTAATTTTCAAAAATACACTCAACCCCATTCACACATATCTCAGAGCAGACTAAAGCCAACTTGATGAGTTTACGGGCAAAGGCTATAGACGTAGTTAACATATTTCAAATGCTAATAGCTCCTTCTGTTGATAGACGAGTACCAATGGAGCTTATTTTGAAAGAGGTCCGTGCGGTCCTAATGGTGTTAGGGGGCTAAAGTGTTTATAGAAGCTAATTCTCTCAGGACGATTTTTCCAACCTGCAAGACTCCAGCTAGGAAGAGAGCCGGTACAAAAGCGAGAGCGATAAGAGTCAACTTCCAGTTGTAGGTAAAGGCAATAGCCAGAGCTGAAATCACCAGTGCCATTCCTTCCAAGAAGATTCCCAGCTGCGTACCAGTGACTCGATGAAGACTCTGTACCTCTGTCGCCAATCGAGCTGTCAGGATTCCTGGTTGGTTATCTGGATGATCGAACCATCCAACTTCCTGCAAGCATAAAAGTAGATAAATGTATACAATTAAAACATTTCTATACAGAAAATACCTTTGATAACCCACATCACAACTATTAAACCACTCTCACTTGGTCTAGAATGTTAAAATGTATTAAATAATGCTTAGTAGGAACATAGTTCATTTAATTCATTTCAATTTTAAGGCTACTACTAGGCTTCCTTCAAATTTTCAAGCCAATTGTACGTTTTTTTCATTCAAACAGTGTCGATAAAATCATTGCAAAAGCAAAAAAGTTTAAGTGAAAATCGCAACGCTCTTTTCACTTATAGAGGGCAGCATGCATTTTTTTAAAAAAATACTCGCACAACTTGAAACTATTTGTGCCGAATTCAAGAATATGGCGTTTCGCTTCATTGTGTGCCTAAATGCACATATAAAAAAACATATCAATTCATTTGACAACCTACTGACTTGCGCTTTTCCCGTTTAACGCAAAGACAATCGCATGAAGGACAACGAACGTCATTCACTTGTCGTTGCTTCAATTATCATACTTGGAATGTAAAGAGAAAATATTGTTTGTTATTGACTTACCTGATTTAGAATGGCTTGGAGGAATAGCTTTCGAGTACGCATGGTAAGTCGAGCTCCGGAAACACCAAGTGCTGCATTCTTTAGAGGCAAGAAGGAGAGAGTAGTTATTTCGTTATAGTTGACTATGCTAAATATGGTATGGTAGTGAGAAACGCACCCCAGTAGATTCAAAGAAAAGTCGAAGGAAACCCAGTAATGCGAACATTCCACATAGAAAAGAAGCTCTATCTCGCTTTTCCGGTCCATTTGGCATCAAAAATACCTGGTATATACGACAGGAAAATAAAAAATGTTAGCTTCCTCAATACTTTCACATGAACTGCTTCAGCATATTAAAAAAATCCTACGTTATAAACTTCGGCGTAGACAAGAGAAAAGGAGGGAAGACATACGCCACCCAAGCAAATCGCCGCAAGACCATATATAAGGTAAGGATATTCCGGCTTATTCATCTGAATTGCTTCAAGAAGAGCTGGTTTCTAGTAGGGAAAAAAAACAACTGAGAAAGGTTTCTGAAACATAATAAGTTTATATATATATATATATATATATTAACGGCTTACACTTGTCACCACTGAGGTTGTCACATCAGAAAACATAGATTCAGTTCTATCGTCTTTGGAAACTTTAGAAGCGCGCAACGAAATTCCTCGATGTAGGCCCTTAACGGATTTTTCATCTTCACTGCTGGTGTCTTCTGTTTCGGTATCAGACTCTTCAGACTTTTCTTCATATTGGGGCTTAAAAAATATAATAATAAAGCCGCAATCAACGAAAGTGACGCAAAAAGAATTTCGAATTTTTTATAACAATAGTCGGGAGTTACCTACAAAGCATAGTAATAATAAAGGTGTGTAGTATAAAGTTTATAATGTAAGTGATACAATATTGGGGTTGTTTTTCGCAAAAAAATAAACTTAGCTTATAACACTATGACACGTAATGACACAATATATATAGTTTTTCCCTGAATTCTTATGCAGTTTAGATTACTAGAAATTGATCAAATACCAACCTGTATTGGATCTCGGGTCCCCAGTATTTATCTCAACTCCTCTAGTGCTTATTTCTTCACACTTTGACTCTTTTTATAAATTTTGCAATAATATTAAGCAGGGTTATAAATATAGGAGTAGTTAGACATGTGTAAGATTTCTTGGTCCCCATGTACTTAAAAACTAGGTCCACAAAGGGGTGGTGTTAAAAGTCGATTGCGGTGAGTTCATTTCTACCACACCCATCGTTCTCAACTCTTTTTACACAATTTATTTCCTCTTCATATATGCGGTTAATTATCAACTCTACTTACTATACAATCGCCTCATACCTGTCCCTATACAAAGGATTCGCAGTTTCATTCATACATTACGTAATTTATTCAATTCCAGTGCTTTTCAAGTACTAGGTCTCCTAGTCACTATTTTGTTTACGCATTCATTTTAAACATTTCCATTGGACAGATATTTGGATTATAAAATTCCCTTTACTACATATGATCTTCGGGGATGATTTAAATCACCCCACTAAGTAAATAACTAACAAATCATGTTGTCTTAATAGCTTAATTAGCATAGTTGGTTGAAGCAGTTATATAAAACTGTTAAAAAAGTATAAGAACTATCACATTCACCATTCGCACATTGGAATATACTAAATGAAGTCCATTGGAATGGGAAACTTGACAAAAAAGTCCCACTTAGTTAACTTATAAAGAATTACCTGTTTAGCAAGCATTCCAGCGTAGATTCCACCTTTAGCTACTAGTTCATCGTGAGTACCCATCTCTTGAACTACTCCACGATCCACCACAACAATTCGATCAGCATTTCGAACGGTAGTGAGACGATGAGCAATCATGATGACAGTTCGACCACGACAGGCCCTGTCAAAGGCGGCTTGAACGACCTTTTCTGACTTGTTATCCAGGGCTGAAGTTGCTTCGTCGAGTAGAAGAATCGTTGGTTCTCGAATAAGGGCTCGTGCGATGGCCAAACGCTGTTTCTGTCCACCTGACAACTTGCCACCGCCTTCCGTTAGAAATGTATCATAGCCCTTGAAAAATTTAGGGAATTTTTGTTTTATCTTTTTAAAATTTCATTGAATTATTTAACTAAAAGTTTATTGCTTCACCACTGTCTTTGTAAACTGGATGCTAATTTCAAAAGTTTATATTTCATGAACCATTTTTCCCTAATAATGGTAATTTTTCATAAATTACAAGGATATTTTAGTGAGTACGAAAATTTAGATTTATTCTAGAATGTTCTAAACTGTGTCATTAACAGGTTTGCATTGTAAGATTAACGAAGTATGACATCTTCATTATTATTAGCGAAACCAAGATATATAAGTTAATTACCAATGTCTATAGCTTCCTTTTGAGCAAAACACAAGCTACTTCCTGGGTTGATCCAATGCCGGCTATCAGGGAACAGCCAACGACTGGAACGCCTGGACACTAAGGGCATAAGTCTGCATGCGGGTGTATATTAACGATCTCTCTCTCTGATTTCGCGATCTCTTCTTCCCACTCTCGCATAGATGACAAAGGAGTTATTTATGCTACCGAAGCAATGCACATGGTTTTGGCAAAATGCTTTGTCAAAACAAATTCTAAATTTTCAATAGATATCGGCGAGAGACCTACGTCATGATAGTGGAAAGGACTAGAGGTACCAAGGATATCAGTCTTTTCTTACTGCCAAGTAGGCTAACAAAAGCTAAGCACTCGATTGCACTTTTTGGAGAGCTCAAATAGTTAAAGTCCTTTATTAAAGATGGATATCTTGTGCTCTATTATGAGTCATGTAATACAGTCACATAGACTTCATTTTTCAAATAAAATGTATCAAGATGGTTTCCAATCGTTCCCCACCAATCTGCTCTCTATATTTTCTATTCAAATATTCTTCCATAACTCTAATGCAAAATTCTATCACTTCTCCTGCCACCACGTCCCGTCCATTTAGCAACAGATCGCGCTCTAATGATTACCCTTTCCCCCT